TGTGGGTGTAGGTTTCTTATCATAGATGGATATGCAAGCCAAAGGCTGGCTCATGCATTTGCTGATGGGCTTGAGGCACGGATGGGTGGAACTGTGACACATAATTACGTTCCTCCATTTCGTAATACCGTTGTAGTTTCTGAAATGCAAAAAACCCATCTGTCACCATCTTTGCCATATGTTCGATTAATATACTTATTTTCAAATAAAATGATATACTACGTATGAAGTAGCATCAAGGGGCTCATCACTCCATATCATAGATTTTGGTACAAACCATTGACAGGCCTAGTACAAACCCGGGCCGGCACCGGGCCTGAATATTTTGGACCCGGAGCCCGACCCGACCTGATCCCACTCCACCTCGCTCATAACTGCTTTAAATTTTTGACCAATCTATTTTCGCACATGTGAGTATGTGACCAACTTTAGAGGTTCACTCAAATTAAACTTACTAAAATTATTGGTGTTAAGACACGGGGTTCCATCCTAAAATACGTCATAAGATTTGAGAGTGTATCTTCAAGTTAATTTCTATGCAATAAGATATTTTGGGTTGAGGGATACTAATTGACTTATAATTTTGGTAAATATCCCTTCACTTGAGCTGCTTTTCAATAGAAAAGTGAAACCATTGAAGTATAAAGGGATAAGGGTCAGATAGGGCATCGAACTTGGAAAAAAATGTCAAATAAGGCCATATTTAGGATGCTCTGTCCGGCCGACGCCATTTGGGGTGGTTCCCGGTGGAATTTTTTGATGAAATTTTTTGAGAATATTATTCATTAAGTCTAATTTACTCATATCAAATTTAAACTAAAACTTCAATCGGCAAGGCATTCAAATGAATTATTGAAGATAACTGCGCAGTTAAAAGAGCAGTTATCTTCAAGAATTCAAGTTCGAGGCCGGACAGAGCATCCTTAATATGGCCTTATTTGACATTTTTTTCCAAGTTCGAGACCATATCTGACCCTTAAAATGAAATAGTACTTTATATTTAAACTTCATATCTCTTACATAGTACATTCGTGGTATATGACACGAGACTATATATAGCAGATAACTGAAGTTCCCTAATTAATAATCATTATTGACCTTTTTGTGGATGATCAGTGGATCGGAAGCTTATCTAACGTAGAGAATATAGCAAACAAGTCTAGCAACATAATATGAGCAGGTGCTCTAGGCTCTTTTAATACCTTAGATATATTTTTCATTCACACTCTATACAGTTAAAAAGTGTTGGAATATAGTAGATTTAAGGTCGAGTGATTTGGGTCTTTGATATGATAATACAGATATCGATGGCGATCGAATTGGATAGATAAAATGGCACCAATATTACTTTCCAGCTTCTGTTGGACAAAACTATGACCATTTTACACAAAAGTGAACGGACAAGACTTCCGCTTTCAACTTACGCTTTCATCTTCCCATCTTCCGCACAGCTCCAGCGTACATCTTACGCCCAATTGTGTTTTTTTTATAAAGCCCCCATTTTAAGTGGCGGCTCAAGAAAAAAGGCGTCACTTCAAGTGGCGGGCTTCCTTAACCACGGTTAATTCAGCAGTGTTTTGGGAATTACTTTTAACCCAACAGTATTTTCGGAATTATTTATTTAATTAGCATTATTTCGGGAAAAACTCAAATTACTTGGTAGATTTTCTTTTAGTGTTCCGTACTAGGTAAATTACTGGAGAGTTATACTTTAAACTTCCGTTAAATAAGTCTACGTGCTCATTCGTGCTTGTTAAAGTTGTAATTAACTTGCACTAATTTCAATTTCAAATATAGAAAGCACAAATGAGTCTTTTACTAATACTCTGGGCAACACTCAATACTCTGAGATTTCGCGCCTTGCGTTCAAACGGAAACCGCATCAAATACTCTGTATACTCCGAGCAATTGCTACGGTCCCAGCGGGTGCGTTCTCTCCACAATGTCGCAATAGAGACTAGAGAGCTACTCGGTGATGTCTCTGCTTGCAGGAGATCCCATATGGTGAAGCTTGGCACCGTCCTGCTTTTGAGGCATCTTTGAATCGGTGGAGCGCAGGCACCATAGGTCGTCATCCTGTAGGGTTCTCCATTAACGCTGTCCTCGAATTGGAATTTTGAGGTAAAAATTCCAAATTTGAGTATATTCACGACTTCCCGAATAGCTAACCACAGAGTTCTATGCTTGTCAAACTTGATTGTCCAGCTATGGGTAAGCAGTTCGCAGTAGAAGAAATATCTACTCAAGAAATATCTGCTATGATCCAAAAGGACAATTTTGGCTTAGATTGTTTGAGGAAAATTGACTGTCGATGCTAGGGTCAAACACATTGACGATACTTCTAGTTAATTATACTACTATTTAATCATCCATTTTCCAATTTATAGTTCTACAAGTACTCCTGTAGTGTTGTGCCACTTGCATTTTGCTAGAACTATATTAGAAGTCCCGGATTTGCTATACAAGTAGCAATATGTTACTATATACACTAGATTAGCTAGTCATATACATCTTCCATAATCCATCATCTCTCCATCATCATGACCAACTGGTTATTTTGATCTCAGTGCTCATTATACTTTTATTAATGAAGATTGTAAGGACAATGTTGAGCCGTCACTTAAGACTGCATGTGAAACATTTAGTGATACTATGAAAGCTATACTTGTGAGCTTATTTTATATTTTGTTTGGCATCGATAAATAGAGGCTTTTTTGAATTTCCCATGGCAGTTTTTTAAATGATGTCTCTGTCAATAATTTGCTAATGCTCGTGTTATTACTTTAATTCCATCTGCAGGCTGGTGCCAAGGATTAAAGGAACAAGTGTAAAGCCTATTAAAGGAAATGATGTGCTGTTCTGGAGCATGGTTAGTTCCTTTTACCTGCTTTACATGATCTGAATGATATTCCACTTTCTCAGTTTTGTAGCATGTTCCTCACAGGAAAACAAAGACATAATGTAACCAAATGAAAAAAAGGAAACAATATCCATGTGTATGATATCCCCCGTCAAAGAAATTAGGTAAAACGAATGAACCAGAATAAGTAAACAATGACTACTTGATCTGTTAGCATAGTGATAAAGTTAGAATGTGAAGAAACTAAGCATATCTGCCATTAAAGAAGCTTTGTGAGTACATGAGTAATCTGAGAGAAGAGAAAGAGAGTATTCATTCGAGAGAATTATTCGATTACAAAGTTCATGAAAGATATTTATACATGAGCTGTCTAACAGAATGAAACTAATTATTACAAACAGATTTGACTATTCTAACAAACATTAATCCAGCTCATCAAGTTGACTTTCTTTGTATTTTCTACAGTCCCCCCTCAAGCTGGACTTGGTAGTTTATTCACAAGTCCCAGCTTGACCACAAACTGCAAATGTTGTTTCTCACTTAATGCTTTGGTCATAACATCTGCTATTTGATAACTGCTTGGTACATGTTCTGTCTTTATGAGCCCTTCATGAATGCATTCCCTTACATAATGACAATCAATCCGTAGATGTTTTGTTCTTTCATGTAGTACAGGATTTTGAGCTATCTGTTGTGCTGCTTTATTATCACAGTATAATGTGACTGGCCAAGATACTTGAGTTCCAAAATCCTTAAGAAGCCTTTCTATCCAAACAATTTCAGATGCTGCAAAACTCATACTTCTATATTCAGCTTCTGCAGTAGATTTGCTAACTGTTTTCTGCTTCTTTGTTTTCCAGGAAATTAAGGAATTTCCCAAGAAAATACAATAACCAGATAATGATCTAGCTGTGAAAGGACATGTACCCCAATCAGCATCACAATAGCATGTGAGGTTAGTATTAGGATTTGCTGAATAAAACAATCCTAAGTTGAAACTTCCTTTCAAGTATCTCACCAAATGTAGTGCTGCATTTAAATGTGTAATCCGAGGTACACTGAGAAATTGACTAAGTTGTTGTACAGAGTATGATATATCAGGTCTTGTGAGATTGAGATAAAGTAATCTTCCAATCAATCTTCTGTATACTTCAGGATCTGACATTATCTCCCCTTCTTCTGTAGATAATCTGAGTCCTGTAGGAAGAGGAAAATTTGCAGGTTTACATTCTTCCATATGAGTATCCTTAAGAATATCAAGAATGTATTTCCTTTGGTTTAAAATGATTCCTTCCTTTGATCTTGCTACTTCAATACCCAGGAAGTATCTTAATTCACCTAAATCTTTTATGGTGAATGCTTCATCTAGCAACTTCTTGATTTTGCTGATTTCTTCTTCATTATTTCCAGTGATCATTAAGTCATCTACGTAGACCAAAATGGCTACAAATGATCCATTGTCATCAGCTTTAGTAAACAAGGAATAATCATTCTTGGATTGACAATATCCATGTTTTCTTAGGAACTTTGAAAGTTCAATATTCCATTGTCTTGATGCCTGTTTAAGTCCATAAAGGGACCTTTTTAATAGGCATACTTCACCAGGTTTTGCTCCTTTATATCCTTCTGGGACATCCATGTAGACTTCTTCATCAAGAAATCCATGTAAAAATGCATTATTAATGTCCAATTGATGTAATTTCATGTCGTACTTTGCTGCTATGGCAATGAGTGTTCTGACACTAGTGAACTTGGCCACAGGACTAAATGTATGCTTGTAGTCCTTTCCTTTGATTTGATTAAAGCCTTTTGCCACTAACCTGGCTTTAAATCTCTCAATATTTCCATCTGGCTTGAATTTGATTTTAAAAACCCACTTGCTTCCAATTGTTTTCTTTCCTGGAGGTAATTGTACCAGATTCCAGGTGTTATTTTTCTCCAACGCTTCAATTTCCATATCCATGGCTTTAACCCATCTATCATCATTTTTTGCTTGATGATAACTTGTAGGTTCATAAATTTGTAAGACATTATTCAGTGAACTGATATACTCATCACTTAAATTCTCAAGGTGATTAGCATAAAGAGCAGAGAAAGCTTTCTCAAAAGATCCTGAAGATCCAATATATTCTGAATTTGTTGAAGATGGAACAACCAGAGATGGAGGTAATCCTTTGCATATATAATTCTGAAGCTTAACAGATTGTTGTCTGACTCTCTTAGGTCTATTCATCTCAATCATCCTATTTTGAGAAATGGTGTGGACATCTTCTTGAGATGCATCACCTTGATGAGAATCCCAAATCATACTGTCAGTCGAATTTGAGTCATTCTGAACTTGAACATTCTGTTTTGGATCAGTATCAGTATGTGTGTAATCCATATCAGAATCTTGTAATGAAGCCCAGGGTGTGTATGCTTCAGAATTTTGAAGTTGCAAATTTTGTTTAAAAGGAAACATTTGCTCCTTAAAAATAACATCTCTGCTACTGAATATTCTGTGATTATCAAGGTCATACAACTTATAACCTTTTTGACCATAAGGATATCCCAACAGAATACATCTTAAGCTTCTTGGCTCAAATTTATCAGCCGTCTTGTGAGCAGCATAACACAAGCATCCAATTACTCTCAAGTAAGAGTAGTCAGGACATTTTCCAAATAAGATTTCAGTAGGAACCTTGAAGTTTAAAACTGATGAAGGCATCAAATTAATCAAATGTGTAGCAGAAAGGATCAATTCTCCCCAGAACTTTTTAGGCAAACCAGCATGTATTCTAAGAGCTCTAGCAGTCTCTAACAAGTGCCTGTGTTTGCGTTCAACTCTACCATTTTGTTGTGGATTTCCTGCTATACTTCTTTGATGTAAGATTCCTTTTTCAGCAAACAATCTTCCACATTCCTTTTGAACAATTTCTGTTCCATTGTCACTTCTGATATTTTTTACTTTTGTATTGAAATGAGTTTCAACATAAGTAAAAAAATTAGCCAAAGTAGGATAAACCATTGTTTTGTCCTTCAACAATGTTGTCCAAGTAACTCTTGAGTGATCATCTAAAATGGTTAAAAAATAAGATGCTCCAGTGACAGATTTGAACCTATATGGTCCCCAAAGATCAATGTGAACAAGTTCAAAAGGTTTTTCTGTAAGAGATTTGCTAACAACAAAAGGTTGTTTATGTTGTTTGGCTAAAATACAAGCTTCACATTCCAAATCAGAAACTTTATTGAAATCATTATTGTTTTGTACATATTTCAGCTTAGACAGAGAACTATGTCCTAATCTAGCATGAAACAAGTGTACATCAGCTTTATTAGAAGCAACCAAAGCAGTATGACATGAACTATAATTGTTCAATGACATTTTACTACTATTCCTTCCGAAGCAAATCTCATATACTCCATTTCTTCTTCCTCCCAATTGTGTTGCTTTCTTACTGATAGGGTCCTGAAGAACACAGTTATGCTTGTCAAAAATAACACTATATCCAGTGTCATCCAAAAGTTTTCCAACAGATAATAAATTGTGTTGGAAGCCAGGTAAGAACAAAACATCTTTCAATATAATTTCATCAGTCAAGTTAACATCTCCAATCATTATAACTGACTTAATACTACCATCTGGCAGACCTACCTTAATAGGTTTCTCAAGATTCTTAGTAATGGAAAAAATACTAGAATCAAAGGTCATATGATCAGATGCTCCTGTATCAACAATCCAGGTGCAAACTTTTGAATTTGTTGTGACAGTCTTAGTATGCAAAGCATGAGCCATACCTGCAAAGTTCATTGATGGATTTGTTGTCATACCATATTGTTGAGATGGATTCTTTCCAGTCATTGCCTTCATGACTTCTTGCACCACAACTTGTATCATTCCAGGATCCATAGCCTTGCTGCCAGTTTCCAAAGGTGTTTCATCAGCAACTTCATGAACCTCTTCAACATTTGCAGCAAACTTATTATTTTCTTGTCCCCTGACATATGTGTTTCTACTCTTCTTTAGCTTCCAGCAAAATTCCCTAGTATGATTGGTCTTGTGACAATAGTCACAGAATTTTTTTGTTTTCTTGTAGTCATTCATCTTTGCATTGTGATCCCAACTCATATTGGAGCTTGAAGTATTTCCTTTTCCTCCAGTCACATATCCATCTGTTGGTTTCTGAACTGCCATAGCAGTAGCATCTTGATCAACAAAAATGCCAGAACTAATGTTCTTCTGCATTTCAACTTGTTGGACACTGAAATACGCTTGATTCACAGTAGGTAATGGATCTATACCCAGTATTTGACCTCTTATGACTTCATACTTGTCATCGAGTCCCATCAAGAAATCTAACAACCTGTTCCTATTCTCCCTGTCAAGAATTTTCTTTAGCAGATTACAGGAGCATGCATTTAAAGCACCACAGTCACATTCAGGTAAACCATCAAGACTTTGTAAATCTTCCCAAACTGATCTCAATCTGCCATAGTAATCAGCTACAGGTTGTCCATCTTGTGATATGTGAACCATGTCTTTGCGTAGTTGATATAGGAATGGAGCATTAGTCTGATTATATCTTTCACTTAGTTCTTCCCACAATTGTTTAGATGATGTGACATACATCATGCTGTTTGCTATTGCAGGATTCAGAGAGTGTAAGATCCAACACATAACAGTATAATCAGCTCTAATCCAATCCTGGTACTTATCATTATTTTCAGATGGCTTGGCACATTTTCCATTTATAAAACCAAGTTTATTTTTGGATATCAACGCCATTTTAACTCCTCTAGTCCAGTTAAGGTAATGTTTACCATTGAAAGGTGTAGAAACTAGTTGCAGATTCGGATGATCTCCAGGACCCAAGTACAGCGGATCCTTGTTGTTGATAACGTTGGAATTTCTTCCATCTTGACTGCTTTCTCCATCAATCGCCATTAGCAAGATATAGATCAACAAACAGATTGTGAAATACGAATTGACGAACAAAATCAAAATCAAGAACACAGATCGTGAAATACGAATTGACAGCAAATCAAATTCGTAGGGAGATAGCAACAGCGACAATAGAAATCGCTAAAAAATAAAGAGATGAAGAATCGGCAATCAAGATCCAGTATAAACTGGCTCTGATACCATGAAGAAACTAAGCATATCTGCCATTAAAGAAGCTTTGTGAGTACATGAGTAATCTGAGAGAAGAGAAAGAGAGTATTCATTCGAGAGAATTATTCGATTACAAAGTTCATGAAAGATATTTATACATGAGCTGTCTAACAGAATGAAACTAATTATTACAAACAGATTTGACTATTCTAACAAACATTAATCCAGCTCATCAAGTTGACTTTCTTTGTATTTTCTACAGAATGTCTGACTTGCTTTTATATTTAACATAAATAGACTTAAACAAGTTTGTAGTACCTACAAGTATAGTGTGTCATCTAGCATTACTCCCCTTCAAAATTACCTTTTTTTTCATCCTTGTAATATGTGATTATTTTCTTTTTAAAACAATCATTACTGAGATTTTCTAGACGTTGGTTAAAACCTATCTTTGAAACGTGAATGATTAGTGAAACATTGTTTAACTCCAATATCAGTCTCCAAGATGTTTTTACAGATCCAATCGTGAACCCTAGGAGTACACATAGAATCAGTCACCTCATACAAAGCAACCTGACTCGCTAAACTTGAAATGGGCAAATTTAAGCCTAAAACAAACAGATCTGAAACCCTGCCTATCAAAAGAACTCCGAAAATCCAAACATTCAAACCAAATCCACTCGGACTAAAACTAAAATTAGTACTACTACTAAAGAGAAAATAATATAGAAAAAAATCATTCCACAAAACTCTTCCTGGTATGGAGGTGGTTTTTGGAGGAGGACGAGTTCTTGCAATATGGATGAATACAAACTCAACCACCGTCAGAGTGGCCGACCAAGGCTTCATGATCCAGCATCGATACAAAATCTCATCCGCAATTTGTTCATCCGCCAACGTTATCTCCTCGGACATAGTTGCAATCTCAAGCGTTATAACACTTAAAATCAGAAAAATCTGCCGCTCCAACCCCATATTGATGCGGCGGCGGAAAATCACTACCCCTACAAAGAGCTCTCCTCATTATTTCCTTAAAACTATATTTGTCTCCAAGAAGTTAAAAACAATGAATTTACAAGTTTCTAGTTGAGTTATGCTACAGATTTTTTTTTCTAAATGGAAATTGTCTCGAAGTTAGAGAGGGTCTGAAAAGAGAATAGTCTATAGTACAGATATGAAAAACAAAAAACTATTTATGCAGGATCTAAAACAAAATGTGCCATATTTGATGGGACTAAAAACATATTTAAGCCACATAAATATGGAGCCAAATAGGAATAAGAAAATCTATTTTAGGACTTGTTCTTTTCTAGCCTAGCTTCTTCCATGTGGAACTTATAGACGTTTCTGCTTTTATATGACCTGCATGCTTCACCCGTCACCATAAGCAAGTTTCCTTAATTGTTTCACTCCTGTCTTTAATTTTTCTTCTTACAGTTTCTCCTTTTTAAAAAGTCGATACCCATTAATGTAATAACTGAGTGCCCAGTTTGGATGAAAATGGGATGTGCGAGGAGTACAATTGTGTGATTTCTCAGGTGGGGGCTAACCAAATCGAGAAAGTTAAGTACTTCAATGGGGAATTCTTGCAGTTTACCATGAATACTATTGAACTGCGTGCCTTTTTGAAAAGTTCTGACTTTCATGTGTGTTTTGATCTGATGATCCTCATGTTACATTTGGTTGCCTGAATGGAGAATTCATCCAGAAGGTTAAATTGATTATAATGTCGTGATTTAGAAACAGAAAATTGGAGATAGAAAAACTGAAAAATAAAAACAGAAAATTGGAGAACGAAAAACAGAAGTAGAAAACAGGAAAATATCTCTGTTATTAAACAGGCCCTAATATTTTCTATTTTTCTTCAGGTTTTTTGTCACTATTACTCCCTCCTTTCCCATTTAATGTTCTGGGTTTGACTTGAAATGAATTGTATGGAAATGAAAATTGTTTGGTTGATATTCTTGTAGACACAAATGAAAGAAAATAGCCAACACACTTTTTTACTTAAGAGGGAAAAGGAGGGTTAGTTAGGGATGACCCAAACAGGAAAAGTGAAGACATGTTTTTAGGCATATGCTGCAAGTACTTTTTGCTCTTTTCTCTTTATATGAAGCATGCTTCGTAAGAGCATTGGATAGTGGCATAGGACAAAGTAAACAATAACTTTTAAGAAACCATTCATAAATGGACAGTATAACTATTTGAATTCGAAAAAACTCAAATAAGAATACAAATACGAATAGTAATTTGATAGATGCAAAATATGCTCAATCTGTATAGGAGAATGTTGCACTGCATACTGGAATAGGGCATAGCAGAATTTTTAAAAGAAAAAACGAATGAATGTTCATGCATAGACACTGAGAAACTGCCTCAATGGTTATATTTACAGAATAACAGCTCATCTTAGAGTAACTATCAGCAAAGGCACGAGAGTGGGGCACAAGAGTGGTTGGATTTGTCAACGTACTGAAAATCTGCCTTCTCCGGTTTCCCGTCCACAAAAAATAATCCACCTTCATTGATAGAGAAACGTAGAAGGTCTCATGGGCATAATCCTGTCAGAGAAGACAATAAAATGGAAAATTTTGAAAGTCTAAAAAATAAGTCAAGAAAAAGTTTAAAACAGAGGAAATGATGTAGAGGCTCCCATCGACCACATCATGATAGGTATATTTCAATTCCATTTCATTCTAGTATAGAGGAAAACATTGAAACAAACTACACAATTATAACACCCTCAAATTGTAGCAATTATATTTTCTCCAAACTCTAAATTTACACATGTACATGCATCAATTAAACTTTAACCAAAATCTAAATCTATACAAATAAATGCAGCAATTAAACTTTGCCCCAATCTGAACTTGTATATATACACTTACCACACATGCCACACACGTACTCCATATATACACTTGCACACGTGGAGGAGTGAGCTTCATATACTCCCTCCGTCCGGAATTGCGAGGCACTTTACGAGTATTTGGCCGATGGGTGATTTAAAACTTTCTTTTTAATAAGGTGTATTTTGCTTGGAGGCCCCTCCTTTTGCTTGATGTTGATTGCAGTACAATCCATACTGTTAATTTCAGAGGTGGACTAGGGAATAAGCTAAGAGCATTTTCTTCTATTAAAACAATGTAAGTGAGAAACCAACCGAGTTCCTTATTTCCTTGTTTTGTAAATATGAATATCAGTGTTGGTTCATTTGGTAGTTTAATAACAATTATGGAATGTTTCAGGGCAATGATCGGAGCTATAACTTTCTGGAGGCTTAATTTCATCCTCTCTGCGAGTTACCTGTAAGTGCCAACAATTTCAGTAAAGGGGTCCTTGGGTTCACAGAGAAAATTGTATGATATGTGATAAGGTCACTCATTAACTAATAAGTGTCCAATGTTTTTGAGGTTTTTGACTAATTAATCTGTTGGGGGTGTTGTATTTTGTGTTTTGGGAGGCTCCACTATTGACGGGATAAAGGATGTGTTAAATGTTTGAGTGTATGATATATATTTATATAACTAAAATAGGTTAGCCATTTGCTTCTCCCTTCACACGTTTCATTCCTTGCCACTTCCATCCTTCTCACCTACTCAAAAACTTTTAATAGGACCCTTTTTTCTTCACATTTATGAGATCTATTATTTATTGCTTGTACATAAAAGAGTTGCTGATCCAGGTCCATAATGTTCCTCAGCTTCAAGGTAGTCCAAAGAAGTTGAGAGTGTTAATGGTGAAGCTGTTATACAACCATAAATGCCGGAAGGACAACAACGATTTGTATACCAGGTAAATGCAAGAAGATAAGACTCGGAGAAGATACAAATGTTATTGGTATCCAATCAAACTTGCACCATTTCCAATAAAATGCTGGAAATTGCAACGTTTTTCAATGGCGTTTTTCCAATCAACCGCTGAAAAACAAATGCACTCTAGAATTGACTAAAAAACTAACACTGAACTCCAAGCTTAGTATGATTAAACTGACTAAAAAGTATATAGTGAATAACTAGGAATGCAGAGTATAAACTATAAACTTAATTAATTGACTCTTATAAACTGTAAATTGACTAAAAAAATAAACATAATATTTATCTAAATTTGTGTCTGTAACATTAAATACTAAATGTTAAAAGGTTACACCAAATAACTTTGCCTCAGCACATTCATGTATTATGTGTTTTTTATGAACCTTACCTCTGTAATGTGGTGTTTATATATGAAGTATTAAAATGACTGAAACTGTATAAACCAAGTAACTAAGATTTCAGAGTTAGTAAATTGATTCTTACCTTATTAGGTAAAGTACGTGGTGTTTAAATACAACCACAACATTCTGTAAAAAGAAAAGTGAAGAAATTAGAGATTGAGATACCTACGTTGTGGGCTTGTGTCTGACTCTCGTTTGTCTCCCAGACGCGGCGGCTTCACCGTCTTTCCCCTTGCTGCCTTCTTTCGGGCCTGTTTATTTACAATAAGGTAAAGCATTTTATTTTTTTATTTTATTTATTTATTAAAACATGAGGTGGACCAAAAAGGTAGTGCCAAATAGGGAACAAAAACTCTTGGTGTACACCCTGGGTTACACCCTGGGGTACACCACATAAATACCCCTCCCAATTCTTTTACCCTTCCATTTGCCCATCAAATTGTCCTCAGCCCACCAAATTCCTCCGCCTCATCTCAACTCTACAAACCCCCCAAAAGTCTTCTTCTCCACTCTTCACGATTCACACTTCCCCACAACCGGCAATCCACCTTCTTACATTTGGAATTGTAAATGGTGGCCTATTTACGCAACTTATTCATCGTCGAAGATGGAGCACTAGAGGTGACGAAGTATGGTGAAGACGATGGTCGTGGACGACAATTGAAGCTCAAGAAGAAGGTTGAAGTTAAAGATCAAGGGTCTGACATTCTGACCTGCGGCCATGGTGCGAACAAGCCTCTTCGTCATGGCCGACTGTAAGTATGAAGTCATGTGTCTTCTTTATTAGGTTTTTGATTGTGTATTGGAGTTGAATATAATGATAACTATGTTTACCATTTCGTTAATTTCAATTTTTGTGTTTAAAAATTAAAAATGGAAGCTAGAACCCTTAATCGGTTGTGTGTGTATGTTTGGAATTACAGTGTCGGTATAACCTTATGGTTTGAGTAGTAGTTGTCTGTGAGTTCTTATGTGACATGTTTGAAGTGTCTGTGAGTTGTTAAGTAACATGTGTGATACTGTGATGTTGTCTGTGTGTTTTCATTTAAGATTAGTAGAGTGCATGTGAGTTCCTTATTTGAGTTATATACAAAAGTGGTTATTATTGGAGTTGTTATCTTTGTTCTTTTTATATGTACACGCATTCCCTGTATTTGTGGTTATTGAATTTTGTCTGTGTGCACCGAAAGTTAAGCTGTGTGGTATATATATCTTATTGGGTGTGGTGCACCGATAGTATAATTTGAGGTATTTGTTATATTGTTGTGTGAGTTATATACAAAAGTGGGTTATTTTTTCGAAAAAATTGGATTTAATAATCCCAACAATGCTCGGTCCGTATTTAAAAATCCCTATTAGCAGTTATTATTGGGTGGTCCTAACTTAAGTGAGCTTTTTCCAGAAATAGTCCCCACCGGCAGGAACCCTTAGCCATCACTTTTTAGCCGGTACAAGTTGCGTGAGAAGCATATGTTTATTATATACTTGTATTAGTTAAAGACGGTATTATTGTAACTTGCATGAATTAAAACGACACCAGTTTTTGTATTTCAATTGTAATTTAGAGCATCAAAATGGTATTATTGTGCATCTAAAGTGTAATTTCTTTTACAGAAATTTGATTGTTCCTATCTTCAATGGGTTGAGGAAAATCCTGCTATGTCTCTTGAAGTGAAGACAAATGATAAGGATAATTTGATTCAGCCTCTTTTGATGGACAAAAAAGATTTAGAAGAGAAGATTGTGAAGCTGGAAAAGAAGAAAGAAAAGATGGGAGCTAAAGTGAAAGAATTGCATATTTTGGCCTCCAAGCACGCAAAGCTAAGGCAGAGAAGCTTGCATTTGTCAGACTGATTGATTCATGGATTTTATTTAGTAATATATTGCATCACAAGTGAAATGTATTGCTCTATAAATCTATATGTTGGTGGTTGGATGTAAAACAATCTTTGTTTCAGGACTTCAATTGTCTTTTTAGAATTGATTGGTTACTGCAATGGATTGATGTAATGACTTGAATGGTTATTAAATTGAATGGTTATTGGCTTATTGCATTGAATTGATTATTCTTAGTAGGCAGACTACTACTGTTGTACGTATTATAAATGTACTGCCTTAGTAATGAATTGATGTCCATAAGGATGTCCAGAAATGAGTGATTATGTTATTGCAGCCCCCTCAAGAATGAAGTTACTTCACAACATCCTTATTTTGAGATATCATGTGGGTATTCATAAATGTCATCTTCTGCAATGTTGGCTACGCTGCTATGGGCATATGAGAAAAAGACAAACTGCTTTGAAAGATATATAATGCTTTGGTTGAATACAAATACATATATACTCGTATTATTTACACAAAAGGACAAACAGAGAAGGAGATTTGAGGGCAGGTTTGGGAGATGTAAATGGAATAGATTCTTACTTCAGTGTGAGTGACATATTAAACAGATTTTTCAAGTTTTGATTACTTCTTTAGCCCATTAATCTAAGAACCTCTGCTTTGAAAACAAAAGCCAAAGAAAACAAAAAGCTTCATCTGCCCAGAATTTCAACACATAACCACACTAGTCATGTTAATAAACCATTGCTAAATTAACAAAACTTCCTGAATTTAAAACACAACATTTGTCATAACAACACCTCTTTTTAAGGTAATGACACCTTCTCTTGTTCAAACACAGCCTTAAATAAATAAAACATTCTCTTATTCAAATACAATCATTGACATAATAAAAACTACTCACATTCAAACACAACCATTGACAAAAGTCAAAACAAATACTTCATAATTTCTTACCAACAAACATCACTCACATAATGTTCATACAACTAGTTTTGAACTACATAATAGATAAACAACTCATAGATGACTACAAATCAAACCATATTGCCACACAAACACTTACAAAGCAAATACAATCTGTGTACACCTACAAAAACACTATTAATCTGTTCACACCGACACTACTAGTCTGTACAATCACTCGTGTGGCTTTCATTCGTCTGTGCCCACCGACATAGGTACACTAGTTGTCGGTACGGTCAGAATGCATAGATCCCAACTCTGTGGTGCTTCCCAACTCTGTGGTGCTTCGCACATCTGTTTACAGACCCGTCCCTATTCCATCTTCTTCCAAACCTTGGTTCACAGGCATCGCAGCTATTCTCCTTCATATATGGCAAAATCGTCGTTCGTAGCTCCGTCGTTCGTTTGCACCTCCAAGTTCTTCGTCCGTAGCTCCGTCGTCCGTAGCTCCGTCATCCGTAGCTCCGTCATCTGTAGCTCCGTCATCCGTAGCTCCGGCGTCCGTATCTCCGTCGTCCATAGCTCCGTCGTCCATAGCTCTGTCGTCCGTAGCTCTGCCATCCCTGGTTGTGTTGCCCGTCAAAGCTCCATTGAAATTTCAAAAAGAAAATACAGGGTGTGGGGATAGGGAGAAGAGAGAAGAATGCAAAGGGGATTGAGAGTTGATGCACTTGAAGAGAAGGGTAACCCACATAAATAGGTATTTATGTGGTGTACCCCAGGGTGTAACCCAGGGTGTACACCAAGACTTTTTGAATAGGGAATGCCCCACATTCCCCAGCACCGTAAAATTTTCCTAGAATTTACCTTTTCTTTTGTTGATTCATGAACGGGCCTCACCGTGAGAGGAGGCGATGAATATACCAACAAGGGCAAAGCAACCCCATTTACGAACTCCACCACCGCCGTTCGCTCCTTCCCCGTTTTTGGGCCCAACAAGACAATATCCACGCTGCCGTATTTAGAAAACAGTCTTGTGAGGGATTGATCAGTATAATCCCCTTCAGATAAATCCCAAGAAAGTTTCCACGTTGTATATTGATTTCCTGCTATGATCTCATCTTCTTCCTTTTGCTCTACCGTTTCCTTTTCTTCCTCTGCTACCGCTACCGTTTCCTTTTCTTCCTCTACAGCTACCGCTACCGTTTCCTTTTCTGCTATCGGTTCTTGTTCCTCTACCGCTACCGTTTCCTTTTCTTCCTCTACAGGCTCTGGGTTCTCTTCTTTCTTCTGCTCTCTATACATAAATAAATAAATACTTTTATTAGTAAGTATATAAATATAAATATAAATTACTCCCTTGTTTAAATTTAAGAAGAAAGGTATTATTGCTCTGCTTTCTTCTTTAATTTGTGGAGCACTAATCCCTCCCGTTCATCCAGCTCCTGCTGGGTTATGTGCATTGTCCTCTCTTCAACTTCAATTTGACCTCTAAGAACTTCAAGATGATCAGAGCGGGCTTTCTTGTACAGTTCATGTTTCCTGATTCTCTCTATGCGGGCTGCCAATTGATATTTTTCAACTTCTTCACGTAGAATACTACGGCTAGTTTCCTCGTCAGTCCTAGTAGTATCCATTTTTTTTACTTGTAATTAGAATTCTAATTAGAATTAGAGGCATCCCTCTACTTTTATACTCCAGAGGGGTAATATGGTTTACCAATTAGCCAATGTCTAATTAGAGTTCTTGGATTCTTGACTTTCTTGACGCACTCTCCTCCTCAGTCCCAGTAGTATTCAATATTTTTAAAAATATTCAATGGTACATCGGGCACATGACATAATACTATTTGATATACACTCCACGTCAGCTATTAATTTTTTTAAAAAAAATAATAGCTGGACTATGCCATACTTGTAATTCCGTCCTACAAGCATGCTCCATTTTCCTTCTTGTCGTTCCCATTCTCTAACTGCCTTATGCCCTTCTCTCCGCCTTCAACTTTATGGTGCAGAGAGGCAGTCTAGCCTCCTTTTGCAAGAATCTTGATCCATCTGGTGCAAAGGAGTTTTTGGCTCATTTGGTCAGGCATTATTTCCTGCACGGCTGCACCTTAATCTTAGCATTCTATTTAGAGGCCCCTTCTATTTGGAGAGGCAAACCTATATATACACACATGTGGTGCTAATTGAAGAAAGATGTTGGTAATAAAACTTTAGTGAAGCAAGTCTTGAATTTGCAAAACAGGTTTTGATCTGAGGTTCTTTTTTTTTTTGTTTCATTTTCTTTCTCAATTCCTCAATAGGCTGCACGTTTTTATATGAAAGGGAAGCACTACTATGAAGTATGAAATGTAGGCAATACTTCTTAGTATGTTTGCATTACCCTGCAGTTGAACTTTAAAACAGAGCACATAGAGTGATCTCTAGTATAAGAACATGGATATGTTCTTTACGCGTCACTCTATAGATTTCATCTCTTAGATCACCCCCTCCAAAGCAAACAAACAATAACTAGAGTATTTGTATAGTCTGAAATACATCCTGCACAATGTTTTGGATTTTGGGATTAATCATGCAATGGCAAATGCATCTCATAAATTAAGAACATGATTGGCTTGAGTATTTTAATTATGCAGTTAAAGAAGATATAGTACAAGGAATAACCCAGTCATCAAAGGTGGAAATGATAGTGCCAACTGCCAACCAGTTGTACAAATGGTCTTCAACAGTTTGTGAACCGGTTGGAAGAAACATGTTAGGTTGTTGAACAGTTTGTGGTGGAGCAGTCTGATAGAAGGGGGAGGAGGACATGAGGACATCCCTTGAATGAAGGAGCATGATGCGGCTGACAGGAGACAATTCCTCAGCTCCCAAAAGGCCAAAAACTTCATATACTTCATTGCTTTACTCAATTGCCCCTGACTTGCTAATATTGACCATTTGATAAATTAAATTCTTCCTGTTTTCCCACTAAATGATTTCATCTAGAGGACAGAATCAGAAAAAATATTTCCTTGTTTTTTTAATTGTTGAAAATACATAATACAACTTCACAATAAATTAAAGTATACTTTTATAAATATTGACCATTTGATAAATTAAATTTTCCTGTTTTCCCACTAAATGATTCCATCTAGAGGACAGAAGCAGAAAAAATATTTCCTTGTTTCTTTAAACATGAATTGCCCTAAATAGAAGTAAAAACGTTTTGAAATTCCAAAAGAGTATCATGTTTTTTATTCCCTGAATAGGAGTAATCTGCCAAGTTTGGAAAAAATGCCATGTTTAAAAGCCTTGTAATGCTATAATTTCATCCATACCCTAATTTGTTAGAGTGTAGTATACAAAATGGCATAGCCTTATGTTAAAGTTATTACTTGTTTAGTAACTATTTTAAAAATCATCACTAATGAAACTATAATAGATCTCTTTCAAAAGATGGAAACACGAATAAAGCTTTTGTCGTGTATTTTATTAGAATTTTTTATATTCGGAAATATTTTATTAAACTTTTTTTCTTCATGCATGTCATTTTTGTTCTGCCCCAATGATTCATTTTTCTTGGATCCACTACCGTAGGCGCACACACACACACACACATATGTAAAAATATTTTTAATTTGTAAAAAATATGTTGATGTTTTATACTTTGACCTCCACACTACAAAATTTTTAACCCTGACCTCTTCAAACATCCTTTATAACTTTGTTAACTTTCCTTTTTTGTTGTCCTACTTATTTTGTCATTTTGCGTTTTAAATAAAGAATTTGTGGTTCTTGTTATTTCTCTCAAATTTATTCAAAACCTCAACCACTCAATTTTTACTTTATTATTTTACGTGTCAGTCAACTTTGACAAAGTTTTTTTAAGCAACTTTGACAAAGTTCAAAAGGACGAAAGGGGTATACTTTCGTTCTTTTTTCATCCATCTTTTTCCATCAACTTACCATTTAATATAGTTTTAATAAAGTAGAGAGATGCAATGTGGCTTCTTCCAACCTTGGCTCGTTGTCCTCGAGGCCAGAGACGCTGAGAGAGAGCACCGCAAGAAATTTTCATCTCTCTGGATTTCTCTCATTTCTCTGTTGACTCTTCGCGAAATCAAATTTCAGGTTTGCAAAGGATTGGAGATGTTTGAGAACTGAATCATTTCAGGCTTTGGTTGGCCAAAAAACGGTTAATGAGATTGTGATAAACAGTGTTTGGTTAGTTGTCTTTCAAGATGTGGAGATCCATTTGGAATGTCATCACAAGCTTTGGTAGGAAGAAAAGCACGGTTGAGCCAAGCGCTGCCTCTAATGAATTCTCAAACGACGATGACATGGGCTCCAGTGATAGCATCGACAAAGTCTTAGAATACCCAATATGTTGCGAATCTTTCAACATTGTTGAGAATGTTCCATATGTCTCATGGTTGTGGACACCATATGCAAGAATTGCCTCTTGAATTGGGACTAAAACGGGTTGCTTTGAAGATCTTCACAACCCAACAAATCGAAACAAATGTATTTTGAAATGCTTTTTATTTCGATAAAAACTTTTAACCGATCCTAATTCCGTAAATAACTTTTTATTTATCATTATTTTTTAAAATAACCCATCAATCAAATCTTAAGTTACAATAAGTACCAAAAACTCATAGATTTTAATTCAAAGAGAAATTTTATGAAATGTTATCCTAAATAATAACGGAGTGCAAGAGAACATATTAGTATTTGAACACTGCAACAAACAATTTGTATCATCTTCAAAGTGAACGATGTAGATTATAATCTAAGATTAAGGCCGGAGTTGGAGGACTTACTTGCTGAGAGAGGTCAAACAGATCAAACCATTTCTTAATTGAAAGCACCACTTTCTACAATCCCAAGAAAGGTCTAGGTCTCGAAAACCCATGGGCTTCGATACATGGGCTTGGGTTTGACGAAACTTATGCCTTTCCTGGGAGTATTAGAAATTGATGTTGAGGAAAAAGAAAAGAGAGAAAATAACTCTAAGGTCGAAATCTCGTTTCACTACAATCAATGTTCTAAAAGGCGTTAGATGCTAGTCGGGCGCTAGCCCAGCGCCTAGGCGACTAGGTGGGCGCCTAGACGGGGACTAGTCGGAGACATAGAAATTGCGTTTTTATCTATATTTTTGCATAAATATGATAAGTAATGTTGTAATTCGTGTGTGTATAAAATAAATATACACACATACATTAACAAACGTGAATGATAGAATCACATTTAATCATACGTAGTACTACGTATATGATCATTGATAACTACTCATTTTACTTCATTGTGTTAAAATTAAATATAAATAATAATAAAATTTAGGCATATACACAAATATATATAGTCTTTATCTTAATTTACAACTTCGTTTCTTTATATCCGTGGCTAAAGGTAAAGTATTTATATGCTTAGAAAACTAAAATTAAAATTAAAAAGTAAAGTAATGTTCAGTGAATCTAGGCGGCCTAGACGGCTAATTAGTCGCTTTAGAAGGGCAATTATGGTCACATAAGAATACTACCTCTCTCTCCTCAACATTCCTAATTTTTGTACAACCTATATCCTACCCCTCAATTATTATTTAATACTATTTACGTTTCGATCTTGTATTTGACTAGGGGTGGGCATGGGTCGGGACGGTTCGGGATTAGGGTTATCCCGGTCCCGTCCCAATTAATAATAACGGGACGGGACGGGACGGTACGGGACAAGCCTTTGTCCTAGTATTGTCCCATTTAAATCGGGACGGGGATGATTCGGAACGGTTCGGGACGGTTCGAGACATCCCAAACTAACAAAAAATAATCATTTGTAATTAATATATATTAGCATTTCTAAAGTATCATGCACCAAAATATTAACATTTTAAAAGTTAATTGATGTTCATCACAAGCTAAAAGCTACTACGTATTAGATTTTAGTTAGGTTTAGCAAAATTTGAAATTTAAATTTAAAACAGAGCAAAAATGAATTAGTTTATTCAAAATCATGTGTTCTAGTTGTGAGATACTCATATGTAGATATATAAAGTGAGATAAAAAAACTATGTTATTAAATATTTATGTTAGATATTATTTTTAATTTAACAATTGGGCTTGAAAAACTAAAAACATGTTATCATTTATTTTTTGAGTTGACATTACAAACTAGTCACATGCTACAAAATCTATATAGTTATTACAAACGGGACAACGGGACGGTTCGGGATAACCTTCCAATGTCCCGGTCCCGTTCCGTTTTAAACCCGTGCGGAACCGGTGCGGGACAAAATCAATGAGACCCAAACGGAACGGGACAACACCGGTACGGTTTCGGGATATACCGGAATGGGACAACGGGACCGGGATTCTTGCCCGCCCATATATTTGACTACCGAATGAACATGCATGATCGCGAATGATTTTAAATTGTTAAAATGTTGCTGGATGTATCTAGATGAATATAGGATATATTTGTTGCGGTTTATGTTAAAATGAAAATGAACGAATGATAATAAATTGTTTGAGTTAGGAGTGGGCATATCAGTAACCGTACCGAACCGAACTAAATCGAACCAAAATCAGACCTTATGCAATTTGGTTTGAGTTTGGTACAATTTCTTCCAAACCATATTAAACCGAACAGAACGAAACCAATAAAAAACAAACAAAAGTGAACCGAAGTAAGGAAATTCAAAAAAACCTCTAAATATTATTAAAAAATAACAAATCCAAACCGAATCAAATCATACTAAAAAATAGTATGGCTTTTGTTTGGTAACAATTTTTCGAACCCGTTCCAAACCGAATCGAACCGGAACCGATAAAAACTGGACCGAAAACCGTATGCCCGCCCCTAGTTCGAGTGACCAGTTGACCACTACTTATGTTATAAATTTGTTAAATGTAAATAGAGAATATTACAAAACTAGTTAGGAAAATATGTTTGAGGATTTGATATCGCAGATTATTCAAGTCAATATTTAAGAATTTAAAAACTGATTAGGATAATATGTTTGCGGCTTTGATATCACGAATTATTTAAGTCAATATTTAGTGTGAATATTGTATTGAAGTAAACCGTGATATCAAGAGCGCAAATATCTCTTCCTAAGAATTACTAGTATTGGTCAAATGCTTTCACTCATCAAACCGGATCACCGAACTTTAGACTTTCAAGAGCCTAGATGTCTTTGATCATCATAGGAGAAATTACCGAAGGGTTGGCCACTTCCAAATCTTGAAATTTGTGTTTGCTTTCCCTTGCCTTTGTCTGATTTCGCATATTCCGCCGGGTGCTTGGCCTTAAGATGCCTTGTGGCGCTCCCGTACCCTCCAGAAGTTCCCAAGTTACACTTCTTTGGGCAATGCTTGCAAGTGGCGTACCATATCTCGGTTTGGGGGTCTTTAAATTTTGTAAAATTTGCCTTAAAGACTGATTCAGCTTTCTCACCGCCTTGGGAAGAAGTAGCCACTTCCGCTTGCTCTTCATCATCGTACGGTGTGCCATGAACCTCGTGCTCGACCGTTTGCGGATCCCTCTCCTCTGCATCATCATCCTCGAGCTCTTCTTCGTCAATGGTCGGGATGTTTTGTTGATGGAAGAAGGCCCCTTGATTTTGTCGTAATAGTTGTTCTACTTGCTCATCGGACATCGCAGACCCATATCTTTGGTTATAATCCGCATCAAAATCATCTCGGGTTTGAGATGAAGCCCCGGCCCGTCCCTTACCTTTGTGCAAGCTTGGATGATTCCTCGCAATCTCCTTTGTTCGGTTGCGGCGGAGGTTACCCATATCTACTGAAGCTCTACCACGTTCCATCTTAAAAATATAACAAATATTAAATTCGAAGAACGTATGATGCTACCATCCAATATGGCTAACTATGTTCCTCCCATTCCATATCCTCAAAGATTGAAGAAAAAGAATGATGGGGCTCAATATAGAAAATTCATTGATATTTTTACTAAATTGAGCATCAACATTCCATTTGCCGAAGCGATAGCGGAGATTCCATCTTATGCCAAATTCTTGAAGGGCATACTCTCAAATTCCGATAGCCAGACTGGCCTTGAAGAAAGATAGCCCCCGTATCTCGATAGCTACTCGAACGGGACTGACCAACTCGCTCACAGGATAATCCTACCTCTGTTTCGGTCCTTTAGCTTGCTTGACAGAAACACTTCGACCGTTGCCCAATTGCCGATTAAAAGAGATGAGCCGGAAAGGAAATGAAGTATGAACTATGGAACTTCTATTTTTCTCTCGAATAAGAACTAAAATCTTTGGAATTGAAGATGCTAAATTAAGAAAGAGCTAATTGGAACGAACTGATTGTTCGTGGGTGTCTCAATCGAATAGAAAAACAAGAGAGTTCAAAAGCCTCTGGACGTGAGAAAAAATAATGAAAGAGTGATGAGGGTTGTTTTCGTGGAAATCAGATAGGTACACATATAACAAGTAATTGGTCAAAATATTCAACTGCTCCTAAAATTCTGCCGCCATGATCCATTATGACCGGATCAACTTAACAAAGCATGACCAAGCCGTCCAAGTACTTCTGATATTTTTTTTAAATTTTAAATTTTAAATTCAAAGTACCACACGTTCATGTCAACACTTAGTTAGCAGAATTACTTTAGCAATTAATCTTTTCGTAGGTTTATTGTTTTATTAAACCCATTTCTGAATTCTTGTCCCAAAAATTAAATGGCTTTTATTATTATATGATACTTAAATATTATTCCTTTTCATATAAAAATGCCATTTAGTTTAATATTGGACAATAAATTCTTCAAACTAATACATTACTTTTACAACTTTCACAACTATGGATTCTAGTCATTAAGTGAAATAAATCCAAACATAAAATGTAAGTTTTTCTTTAATGTATAATAAACCACAACCAATTCATATAGTGTACCATTATTTATTTCATCATATTTCCAACAATTCCCCACAAATCCATAGTTGTTGGCTCAACTCTAAAAGACATAATGTGCTTTCCAATATGGTATCTGATACGTTTGTAATTTCCGTATGTTTATTTACGCTTTTAGTTAGTTTTGATTGTTTAATATTTCGGAAATTACACACTTTCGGTGTAATAGTTTAGTTTGTTAAATTCTTGTAATTTGTTTAGATTAGGTTTATTCTGAGCTTAAACAGGTCCAAGATCAATCAAATGATCAATGGTGAAGGAAGGTGCAAGAGTACAAGACAAAAAGAAGGAAAAATCCTGATTTTGGTCTATACTCGATCGAGTATATACATATACTCGATCGGGTATCTGGTTGACATTTCAAATCGGATCGGATCCAAAAACAAAGGAACATGCAGCAGAAGATTTTCCCACGTTCGAGTGTCTATACCCGATCGGGTATGCTTATATACTCGATCGGGTATGCATATAAAATCTACTCGAGTATTGATCGAGTATTGACCAAATTCTGATTTCTATACATACTCGATCGAGTATGTATACATACTCGATCGAGTACTCGATCCTGCACCTCAAAAAGCCTATAAATACACCTCCTTTCCTTCACTTTTAGACACCAATTCATATACACTCTTAAGCTCAGTTTAGAATAGCATTTCTTTATATTTCTTTTAGCATGTTTAGTCTCCAAATGAGGAGCTAAACTTCCATTTCTTGGTATTGCTCTTGAAGCTTGTTGATTATTAAAGTTGTGAGTTATTTTCTTAACTTCTTTTTCTTGAATATTAATTCTTCCTTTAAATGCTATTTCTATATCAATGTTGGGGAGTGTTGCTAAGATGACAATTAGTTAACATCTTGACATTAGTTATAGTAATAGTCATTTCTTCCTCTATGTTAATATTGGGGAGTGTTACTAAGATGACAATTAGTTAACATCTTGATATTAACTATAGTAGGATTCATCTTCTTTAATATTCTTCCTTGAGTATCAATTAATTCCTATTCATATTTCATATTAATATTTTGAACATTACTTAAAGGATCAACTAGTTTTGTTTCATATATTAATTACTACTAGATACGATCAACGAACCAATGGTAATCGTTGATGGTTTCACAAGTAAGTAACTTCGGTTTATTAATGCATGGTTGTGGTTAATAGACTTAAGAGGAATTAATTGTGTTGGTTAAACCAAAACCGCTTGTGTTGAGGTTATCGATCTCAATTGATTTCATCAAGGAGTTAAGCGATTAAATGCTACTATCAAGTCGGTATACGGCGCTTGTTCTATACTTGACTAATAGTAAGGGTTATTAATGAACGGTCGTTGTTAATAACTATCCTCGATGAATTGGATATACTCCTCGATTGAGTATTCGAGAGGAGATAAGTTATAGATATAACAATGATCGACTAAAATATATCAACAAGTGTAAAGTAGCAATACCAAGTCTCTTTTATCTTTGAATTAAACCACATAACTCGTTCATCTTCGTGTTTAAATTAATTAAATCACTCAACAAACAAAACCCCCCCTTTTTGATTACTATTTTCCTAAAAAGAAAGTTATTCCTTTCCCTGTGGATACGAACCTTACTTCGCTATACTACGTATAAGTGTCGTATTGAATTTACTTTGAGTGCACTCACGACAAAGTGCACGTCAAATTTGGCGCCGTTGCCGGGGAAGGGCAATTAATTTTTCTTTTTATTTTATTTTAAAGAAAAAGAAAAAAAAATATAGTTGAAGTATAAAGATTTCCATTTCTTCTGAGCTTTGTTTGAGTATATGGTAAGGACCCGATCTATAAACGAGATCATCTACCAAACAAACCCCCAAACGGAACAAGCTTTCGAAAGGTTTAGGAATTTATTTCCGAATACTTCTTCGGAGGAATCATCAAGCGCTAGCTCTCATTCTAGCGAGACCGAAGAGCCGATCACTATGGCTCTTGAGACGAGAACATTAAGGGAGCTCACAGCTCCGAATCTAAACCAACAACCCCTATGTATCACTTTTCCAACTCTTGATACGAGGGTCACATTTGAGCTAAAATCTGGGCTCATTCATCTACTCCCATCCTTCCATGGCTTATGAAGAATGAGCCTCCTCAAGTATAGACTTCTGGAGTTCCTCATTCTTTGGTATGCATACACGATCCTTAAACAATAATAGACCGTCATCACGTATTCGGAAGTTCTCAACGGGTCCTTCAAGGATTCTTTCACGGATTTTCTGACATTCCTCATCAATGGCCTGACTTCGACTAATCTCACCCAATAGGGTGGGCCTAACCTCAAATTGAGCAATGAGAGCCCCGCACGTGGACACCTCCACGCGTGCCCTCAATGCCTGCAGACAAGTAAGTAACGTCCCCGCCGTACTCTTCCTGCTCAGTGCGTCGGCCACTACGTTGGCCTTTCCGGGATGATAGTCGATGATCAAGTCATAGTCCTTGATCAACTCCATCCATCTCCTTTGTCTCATATTCAACTCTTTTTGAGTGAATACATACTTCAAGCTCTTATGATCGGTAAAAATGTGACATGTCTCCCCGTAGAGATAATGCCTCCAAATTTTTAGTGCAAACACTACCGCCCCCAATTCTAGATCATGGGTAGGGTAGTTAGCCTCGTGTTTCCTCAATTGCCTAGAAGCATAGGCAATCACCTTACCGTTTTGCATCAGTACACATCCAAGCCCTTGGATGCTAGCATCGCTGTAAATATCATACCCTATCCCCTGTATGGGTAGGGCGAGGACTGGTGCTTCGGTAAGTCGTTTCTTCAAGTCAAGGAACCCTTTCTCACACTTGTCGTCCCATATGAACTTGGCCCCTTTCTTTGTGAGCTTCGTTAATGGAGACGCCAATACGGAGAATTTTTCAACAAATTTACGATAGTATCCCGCTAAGCCAAGGAAACTACGTATCTCTTTCACATTCTTGGGCCTCTCCCAATCCATGATAGCTTTTATCTTGGCGTTATCCACAGCTACACCCGAACCGGATATGACATGACCGAGGAAACCAATCTCTTTGAGCCAAAATTCGCATTTGGAGAACTTGGCGAAGAGTTGCTTTTCTCTTAGCCGATCAAGTACAAGCCCCAAATGGTGTTCGTGCTCTTCCTCGCTCTTGGAGTATATCAAGATATCATCAATGAATACTATCACAAATTGATCTAAGTATTCACTAAACACCCGGTTCATCAAGTCCATGAATGCCGCCGGTGCGTTGGTTAAACCAAATGACATCACAAGGAACTCGTAATGACCATACCTAGTGCGGAATGCACTCTTAGGTATGTCGCTCTCCTTGATCTTCAACTGATGATACCCCGACCTCAAATCAATCTTTGAGAACACTATTGCCCCCCGAAGTTGATCAAACAAGTCATCAATCCTCGGTAAGGGATACCTGTTCTTGATTGTGACCTTGTTCAACTGTCGGTAGTCAATACACATTCTTAGTGTACCATCCTTCTTCTTCACGAAGAGTACGGGGCCCAATTGAAAAAAGCAAGGAGATTCTCTATCTCCAAAAATTTTGAACCAAAGAAGGACATTCGTCAAGCTAGTGACGTTAAAGAAGCGCTAATTGGGAGGCAACCCAACACACACACACAAAAAAAAAAAAAAAAAAAAACTAACCCAAAAATATTTTACTTTGTTTATTTTTTGCAGATGTCTGGAGGAAGACGTGACGATCCCATTTTCGAGGAGCCACCACTAGGACGGGAAGACCCGCCACCTCAGCCTGATATCCCATTTGCTACTATTGCTGATCGCAGACGCTTCCAGGCATGGGGGCAATACCGCACACTCCTTCCTCCCATGATCCTGGACCCGACGATGCTAGAGGAATGGGGGTACTGGGATGAGATTGATTCCCTGCTAGGAGACTCCTTATGGCGGAGGATTCTATTCGTTCAGGAGAGGGCCAGCCTTCCATTGACGATGGAGTTTCTGTGCTCCGTTCAGTTCACTCATTACGGACAGGCTGTGCAGGAGGGTGCTGTTATTGGGTCAGAGTCTCGGATGAGGTTTACTATTCTAGGCATGGAGCACTCCATCACTGTGGCTGAGCTCGGATGGAGGATGGGGCTCTATACTCCAGCATACACACAGACTGATGAGTTCCGTACTCTTCCGACCCGCTTACCTGAGGCATTTGACATTGATGAGTTCTGGCACAGACACTCCACAGACACCAGATCATTTCTCCGGATGCACCCCCATTCGAACAAATGGAGGGCGACTCACTGGTACATACTCTCGTTCGTACTTTCTTGTGGTTTTTTTGGACGACCTAACAACACAAACAGGTTGTCCAAAAGGGACATACTATTCTTTTGGAGTTTGATTCACCGCATCCCGGTGAATATGGCTGTCCTTATGGCTCGTTTCTTCCGGAGCCAGGGGAAGACTGTGCGGCGCACTATCCAGGCAGGGCCTTTCATCACTACTCTCGTTAGATCATTCTACCCAGATCTAGACATTCCAGGAC